AAGGATACCCTGCGGCTGTAGTTGGTTTGCAAGAAATTCATTCAATTGCGTGATGATGCTTTGCTGAGCTTCTAATTGCTGTTGTTGCTGGTCTATCTGAAGCCTAAGCCCATCCACCTTTGTTTGCAATTGTGTTCGTTCTGTTTCCATGGCTCTGACTTTACTACCCGCCCGTCTGAAAGAATTATTGTTGTCTAGAAGTCGGAGGGATTCCAACTCTCTAGCTAGGGAAAGGGCTTGGTCGAGAGTTCCCGGTTTTTCCCGTCTAAGATACAGCCTATCATCCTTATCACTCAAAGCATCAATAAAATGTTGGACAGCAAAACGTTCCTGCACGGAAGCACCCAAATCCTGGTATGCTAGATCTACCATTGAACGAATATCTGTAGCTAACACTTGTAAACTCTCACCTTCGAATTGTCGACGATTTAACAGCCTGGCCTGATGTAACTCGGCTTGTTTCTCCACGCCAAATCGTAGCTGCAATCTCTCCACAATTTTGTCGTATTGTTGACAATCTGAATCCGTGAGTCCACTTAATAATTTCCTACTGTCACCACGAAGACTGGCGGCCAGAAACATCGCCTTTTCTTCCTCGGTCCATCCATTGACGATCGAGCAGCGCTCAAAATGCATCAGATATTCTTTCAGGGGTTGTTTTCCATCGAAATCTTCCGGTAGTTTAACAGGTTTCCTTGTTTGACGGACCACCGTCAACCCTTGTGACTTTGCGAGGGTTAACAAGTCATCATCGTTACGCCGGAATGGATTTGCAATCGAAGCACGTGACGTTTCGGTCGCTGGAAGTAGTGTGCTATCTCCGACCTCTGATGACTTTGCGAGGGTTAACAAGTCAGCATCGTTACGTCGGAATGGATTTGCAGTCGACGCACGTGGTGTTTCGGTCGCTGGAAAAGTGCTATCCCCGACCTCTGGTGACTTTGAAGTCCAAGCACGTGGTGTTTCGGTCGCTGGAAGTGTGCTATCCCCGACCTCCGATCGTACATAAAACGGTCTAAGCGCCTCCAAATCCGTTTTGAAAGGACTCTCTGACCTGTTAGGAGTGGACCACCGCTGCCGCCAATGTGATAAGTCCATTTTCGGGTCCGCAGGCACTTAATTTCTAACGTACTGATCGAAAACAACAAGCGGCCATGTTGTTTTTATTGCAAACACACCACAACAACAACCACCCCGAGGGGGTTGGTAACGAAAGTAACACATTTCGTTCTAACAGGGAGGTACACGGTTTCGGCTTTCGCTACAGTAATATTACACTAAAATAAAAGTTTAAAAGGACACTTTTGGGCAAGAACCTTGAGCGCTTCAATAAGTCTATTTTGTTCGCAAAGTTTTTCTTTAGTTCTAGCATATGCGGTATCCAGGTAAGCTTGTCATCTACAATCATTCCAAGAAGACTCGATTTTTTGACATAGCCTAAAACAGATGTACCCAAAAATATTGGAGGTAGCGGTCTTATAATGGTTGGTGTACTAATTAACATGACTTCGCTCTTAAACGGGCGAGGTGTTAAGCGATTCTCTAGGCACCCCCTGTAGACCTCTTGCAGAGCACAGTACAAGGTAGCAACCGCTGTGTCTGCAGACTCTCCGATGCTGAAAATTGACGCATCGTCCGCGTACATGAACAGGGATCCTGTGGTAATGGCGGCGGGCAGACCATTAGAGAACAAAATAGGGCTTAAAACAGATCCCTGTGGTATACCATTTGTTACTGGTAACATGTCCGATTTGACTCCATTAATCACAGTGAACTGCATTCTTCCCCTCAAGTAGTCCCTAATCCAATATAGCAACACTCCCGTGATACCGAAATTAGATTTCAGCTTCTTCAGCAAGATTTCGTGTGACACGCTGTCGAACGCTTTTCTGAAGTCCACAAAGGCTACGGCGACAACATTACCAGAGTCTAACGCTCTCCTCCATATTTCTGTCAGATGTACTAGGAAGAGCTCAGTCAAGTAGCCGCGTCAGTAGGCCCATTGCTTCTCTGTGATTAAATGATTGTCGACAGAAACGTGCTGCACCAGTCTATCTTTTATTTCTGCTTCCAGGATCTTGCTTGGTACGCTTAAAAGGGAGACAGGTCGATAATTTCCGCAGTCTGTTTCATCATCCTTTTTGAAAAGCGGGGTTAATGGGGCAGTCTTCCATAAGGAAAAGACAATTATTTGTTCAATGCTGTAATTATAAAGGTTGACCAATGCTGGTAAAATAGCCTTTCCTGCCAATTTGAGAAGTTTAGGCTAGATGTCATCAGGTCCAACTGACTTATTCGTCTTAAGTTTATTTATCTTTTTTCAAAAGAATGGTTTGTAATCGAAATAGGGCTTTTAGGTGACAACATATAAGTTAGAATCAAATGTTATGCCAAGGTACTTAGTGGAGTCAACTTGTTTAACAAGTACATCATCAATTTTGATTCTTGATGACTGATTAGGTTTAAGTTTACTGAAATGAAAAAGAATAAAGTTAGTTTTAGAAATACCAAGTGTTAATTGATTACATTTCATCCATTCAGCAACAGATTGAAGTTCATGATTTAGGGTTGTTTCAAGGTGACGAAGGTTTCTGCTAGAAAATAAATGTTAGTATCATCAGCAAATAGATGAAATGTTAGTAAGCTAGAAGTATTGGGAAAATCATTTACATATAATAAGAATAAAAGGGGTCCTAAAATAGATCCTTGTGGGACACCACAAGTCACATGTAATGAATGTGAGTTGTGACCATTAACATTTACAAATTGTTCTCTTTGGAATAAGTAAGATTTAAACCAATAAAACAGAACACCTCTCATTCCATAGTGGTTAAGTTTAGTTAATAGGATTGTATGATTAACAGTATCAAATACTTTTTCAGGTCTATAAATATACCACAACCAAATACATTATTATCAATGGACTGCCAAATAGATTGAGTGATAGAAATAAGAGCATGGGTAGTCCAACATTTTTCTCTGAGACCAAACTGAAGTGGATAAAGTAGTTTTAATTTTTCCAAATAACTGTAGAGGCGATGGTACATAGCTTTTTCAAATAATTTGCTAAGGTTAGAAAGAACAGAAATTGGTCTATAATTGTCTATGTCAAATCTTGAGCCCTTCTTAAAAACAGGAGTAATCCTTGCTAATTTTAATATCTCAGGAAAATTACCACTAACAAAGGAATCATTGACTAAAAATGCAAGAGGCTTGGATATATAGTCCCTAATAGTTTTCAATATTGTAACAGGTACACTGTAGGTACACTGTATGGAACCAGCCCCCAGTGTTCAACACCAATAAGCCTTAGACTAAACAATAAAGACTCATTCTTTGTGTCATCGCTAGCAGTGATTCTAATAATTCCAGCCAAAAATGAACGGCCAAGAGGATTAATTGAAATCTCTCCTAGATATTTGAAGTTATCTACATGTAGGATTTGAGTACTCTCTTGGTTTCCAGTTACATATTAGTTACAAATGCATGAAAAGTTTAATTTTTGCTCATTGCCCGGCTGCGGTTAAGTCATTAAAAATGAATGATGGACAGCAGAGTTTTCCCCTTCGGTGTTTACTGTTATTACTGTGATATATTATCATAATCCCCATGGATGGGTTATACCTTAGTGGTCACAAGATAGATTGAGTTGCAGTCTGCTAACAACCCAGGGGGCAAGCCTGATCAAGCTTGATAGTTAGGTCTTGAGCAGAGACACCAAAAGGGAACTTTTCAGAGAGAAAAAGACAACGAGGATGGACGACAGTTTAAAAGTTGGGCTTTCCAAGGGAACTCAAACAAATTCAATAAATACACTCTGAACTTTCTTTCATTGTGTATTTGACAGCGATCTGCTTCACTGCATACCTTATTCATAAATGGCAGATGTTTGATTTTTCTTTTGTTATTGTGCAAATTAGCCTTCCAAGCCTCACATTATAGCAAGAATTCTTGTCATTTTAGGATATGCAAACCAGGCTTGGTAGGGTAACTTGCGCAACAACAAAAGACAAATAAAACAGCCGCCATTTGTGAATAGGGTCGAGAGCTTGATTCTCCAGCCGCCATTTCGTGAGATTATATGTCAGTTAGGATCATTTTGGCGCCAAATGACGCCAAGGCATGTTGGGTATTCTCGACTCGGGGAAAAAAAATAATCTCGAATCCAAGAAAAAATTCTCGAGTCAGGAAAAATTCTCGAGTCGAAGAAAAAAGTCCTCGTCTCGAAGAGAAAATTCTCGACTCGAAGAGAAAATTCTCCACTCGGAAAAAAAATTCTCGACTCGAGGAAAAATTCTCGACTCGGAGAAGAGTTTCGCGACCACTTTTGTCTATTATGGCTTTTCATACTTACCTCTAAAATGTGCTTGGAATTTCGGATTTGACCACGGGATGCCTAATTAAATTATGTCGTGACGTAAATGACGATGTTGCGATTTTCACAAAGTTCAGCTTGGTTTTTTCGCGCGGAAATGAAAAGCTCCAAATTAATTTTTATATCCTCGAAAAAAACACCATTTCCACTTATCATGAGCTTAACCTGAACCGAATCTGAGTTATACCGCATGGGGAAAATGATAATTGAAAATTTGCTACGAAACGCGATATTTGGATTTAGAAATATTGGTGATTTTTAAAAGCGTTCCGTGAGCTCAAAATTGAATGAAAAGGTCCCGTTTTAGACTTAAGCCATGCCTCAATCCCTCCAATACAAATTTGTCGAATTGATACGAGCTTGCTTTCTTTTGCGCTTTTCATCAGCAATGTTCAATTGCTTCTACTGGAGGCACTGATTTCCGCCATTCTACGGTCACCGACGCTCGTTTCAGTTTTCGTGAATTTTCTAGGATAAAGAAGCAAGTCTGGGGAAAAAAACCTTACCCCGTTTCGAAGTCGACTATAAGGTATCCCTGGGCAAAATACGAAGGTTTTCAATTTTTCGATAATGTGCCACAGTTTTCGATTTTCACTCCGTCAATCCAAACATTCGCTCTTAAGTCTAAATTAACTATTTCCAATCCTTGGAAAAGGTTCAAATATCGCATTCCATCATGATACTTTCTTAGATAAATACAACAGTGCTTACAGAAAACAATAATGAAAGCCCACAAGGTTCTGCTAAACACCATCTTCCTGTTTTCAGCTGATGGGCTGAGGGGAAGTTGGAATATTAATTAGGATTTAAAGAACATATTCAAGTAAAGTAAAAAGATGGGACAAAGCATATTTCCCCAGGTTAAGCGCACTGTATGTTTGCGGAACATCATTATACACTGTATATCTCAGATGCTGAGGCTGTTTTAATTTCCTCACATCGAAGTTAAAAACCGTAAGATGCCGTTGTAACATAATTATCGTGTAGAATACTATCATTTTTTTTAAGACACAGCTTCAACAGGAACTTTTCTGAACCGTATCTTGACACATGTGACAACTGAATATAAGAACAATTTAAATTATCACAATACTATGAAATAGCCCTTAAGCCAGAAATGAAGGGCTGTAAAGAAATTCTTGTAAACAGTAATTTCTTCCCCACCTTGCCATTACATTTTCTCCAGTGATGTAATTTTTAAGGGCTTTTGTTTTCTTCTTCGTATTTCTGTTATTGCGTGAGCGCCAGAAAGAACGTGTCGCGGTAAACAATTCTCTGTATAAAAAATGTGAACATATTGTTATTGTTAGTTATTATCCCTACGAAAAAAGTCGAAATAGCCATTAAAAAGTAGTATGGGAAACATCGTTAATCAGTTTTAAAATTTCTCGTATTCCTTTTTTGAGGATTAGGCGAAGATTTTGATTACAGGCCTGAGTATCTCTCAGCCCTTCAATTGAAAAAAAATGGAGAGGTAGTAGTAAATAACTGCCATGTTTGAATTCCATGGATGCAAAAAATAAGTTTTTTACCCGTGGAACTGAAATGATCCATCCTTCACTCGGTTCATGTTGTGTCATAATTCACTGTCATTTAATCTTATCTATCTTTGTACAACGTTTTAAATATCAAACAAAATAAATACCTCAAATATATTTTCGCTGCTCCCTCACTTCGATTCCGATAGAGTGCCTTAAAACAGCAATGAAGTCATATACAGAAAGCAGGCTGTATGCAGCTTTCCAGATCATTATCTTCTAATGAACATTCTCATGAATGACTTTTCCATTCATTTCAAGTCACTATGGACGACATCCTCAAACACCTGAGCTATAACGTCAGCAATTGTGCCTTCAGCTAGTTTTGCATTTTTATAAAAATAAAAGCCAGTTTTACATTGCACCGGCGAGTCACCAGCTCCTTAGAGTTTGACAAAGAAAAAAGACCTCAACGACATTTTAACCAAAAAAGGCTTCTCAAGGCTTTTACAGTAATTTAGAAAACTACATCAATAGTGACCATACAGTAAAACCAACAAACTTAGAAAATTGGATTGATCATTTTGAGGTATGTTGTTGCCATGGATATAGATTTTGTCTGTTCTTCTAGATTATGCTCAACAAGTGAGCCGAGTTTATGAACTAGACCCAGTTTTCTTGCCTTACGTCCAAACATAATGAATACAGGCAAATAAAAGCTTTGTTAGATCACTCAGTTAGGTTGTCAGTCAGTGCTTTATTTTGATATCACGTATGATTTGAGACCAAATTGCAAATTGTAAAAGGCACGATCAGCGACGGCAACCCAATTCTCCCTCGTTTAATTACTCCTTTGCTACTATCGCACAGTTTAATATTCCGTTTGGTTTTACTAACTGAACACCTTGATTAGGCCATCTATTCTAT